AAGTCCAACATACCCTTAAAGAACATAAATCTCAAATAATGATATACCTTATACATATACATAATTAGATATACTTGATTATGAGAGTTGATGTGTCAACGATATAACCAATACACTTGATATATTATTTTTCTTTACTATAATTAGTTTCTCTTATTATATTGTGTTATTTACAGATTTTAGATGAAATTTATGCTTTTTTATAACTTAAACACATGTATTCTGTACTTGATATGAATGTTGATATATCATTAATATACCTAATTTGTTATATTATTGGATGAATTGATAACATTGTTATATAATCATTATATACACCTTATTTGAAATACCATTTTCGATAATTTAAAAGGGTAAAATCAATATAATTAAAAATTAGATTTCAAATCCAAAAATTGTTTATATATTTGTAAATATACTAAATATTTTAGTTACTTCTAATCTATATTATATAAAAAAACTTGAAAATTTAGAGAATTATTAAAAATATTTTATAAAGTGGAATGACTAAACTTAAAATGGATTCGGAGTACTATTCCAACCAAATTACTTTATTTGTCTTTCTTCTTTTTTTTTTTATGTCAAATTTACTTTTTTTGACTTTTTTTATTACTAGGTGTTGAAATTTGTTGATTATCATCAGTGTTGTGTTAGAATTAGAAATTAGAATGATTCCTTTTTCTTTTCTGTACTAGATTTTTAAAATGATGGGAATTATTGAGATTAATAAATTGATTTGCCAAAAGAAACTGAAATTTTAGAAATATGGGGACAATGTTAACATTTTTTTTAGAATATATATTATAAATTTAGGGTATGAATTCGAATATTCAACTTATTAAAAAGTTATTCATATTTAAGTCGGTTGAATCATATTTAAATTAACAAATAAAAAGGTGAAATTGATAAATGAATGAAAATTAAATTTTAACATCTTAATTTTCTATAATTTTAGTCATACTTTATCTTTAAATTAAAGTTAAAATTTCAATATCTTTTTCCTATAACATTAAGAGTCAAATGTAATTTAGGGATTTTTTGAGAAAAAAAAAAAGGTAATAGGGCTTAAAATATGTTAGGAAAATATTTGGTTGGTATGGATCCTCAACACAACTAAAAAAATTGACAACTCAAAGAGAAAAAAAATATATATATATATATGTATTATTTATTTATATTTATATTTATATTTCTTCCGTTTAATTTTAAATATTTAATGACAAAATTAGTATATTTTTCTGGCGGCAGTTATTTGAAAATAAAGTGAAGACAGTAAAATAAGGGGTGGTGAAAAACGTGTCAATGTGTGGAAACTTCCAATTTAATCCTTCCGTAAATCGTGGAATAATCCTGCAACATTAAAGATTAAAGATGATTTATGAGGGCATTATCTATCCATGATTTTTTTAATGTTTTTTTTTAATTAAAAGTAGTCTTGAAATGATCGAAAATATTATTAGTCTATTAAAAGTACTTTTTAAGATAATCTCCAAACAAAAATAAAAATTTAAATACTTCTTAAGATTTTTTATTGTGGTTTGGTAAAATAATAATAATTAGAAGGTTTAAATACTATTTGGTTGTCCTTAATTTTTAGTTTATTTTCGTATTTTTCTTTTAAAAAAAGTCTATATTTTAAAATATATTACTAAAAAATGGAGGTCCAATTTTAAAATGACAACTTTATCCAAATGATATATATTTGTAATATATATATGACTACTCATATATGTACGTGATTACTTTTGATATACTACTGATATGAGTGTCTGATATACTACTGATATGAATATCTCGTATACTATTGATATAAGTGAAATTTTTGCTATATTTAAAATTTTAACAAATAAGTGACTTGTTTTGAAATACATAAAAGATTTTTTGTTACCAACTGCAATTTTCTTAGGTGCAGTATAACATATTACTATTCTTTTTGTTGTTTCTCATTTTTTTTTAGATATTCAAACTCACAACCTTTTAATCATAAATATATGTTTTAACTACAACTATGTCTAGATTAACCATAACTACATTTGTTGAACTGATAATTTTTTTTCTAAACTCTATATTTGTGTTTAGGTAATATTGAAGGTTGGAAATATTGTTATTTCCTACATTTCTTTTTAAATACAAACACATAATTTATAGAATGGAATGTATATATTTGGTAATTTATTAACTATTTTTAAAGTATTTGGTAAATTTGTGCAAGTTTGGCTATGATGCATATATAGATACTGGAGTATTTAATAAAAGATAAATTTTAATTTTAATCTCTACTATTTGAGAATATTTTTAAAATTTTTTAATTTTTATAGTTTATTATTATTTTTTTAATTTAGTCCCTTTTAGTTTATTAACATTTTCTAATCATATGTTAAAATTGCATGATGGTAAAGTTAAATGGTCAGACATCATACTTAATAAATTAGTAGAAATCTTTTTAAAAAAATCAGACCACCTAATAAATTAATTTTAAATTGTGGTTTTCTAAAAACTATTTTCAACTTTAGATAAAAATGTAAATAAATGGTAGAAATGTTGATAAACTCTTATTGGAGTATTGGAGTATAGCAATAATAACTTTACTTTTTTTTTTTTAATAGTGACTTAAAAATCAACATTTACTTCATTACATATAATATAATTGAGAAAAGAGATGATACAAATACAATTAGTATAATGATTTATAATTTATAACACCATTTTGAAATTAAGAAAAAACATTGATGTTAATACTAATTATTAGAAACATACAAGTAAAAACAAAATGATTTATTTTGAATGTATATATAGTCAATGGAAACACATTTTTTTAATACATCGGGGAGTGCTTATGAATCATGATTAACTGAAAACAATTTTTAGATATTTTATAATAAACTTTAGTACATGGTTGAATCAAGATCTGCAAATATTATTTTTTATCAAATGGAACATGATACTATTCGTTAAAAGAATAATATTGAACGACGAATTTTTGTTTAATATGTGAAAATAGATAAATAAATCTAAATAAAAGACCATCATTTTCATTAGAAAAGTAGTAAAACAAATCCGAGGTTGAATTCTACAAGGATCAGGTTGGCTATATTTTCAATCGGATGAGATATGGAGGAACGAGCTATGCAAGGTAAGAAACGACATAGAAGGAACAAACATTTTGAAGCTTAAATTGGTTCGAGTTTGAGTTGAGTATGACAGAATTATATACTTGTGCAGAAGTGATGTTCATTTCATAAGCAGCGGACTTACAAGTCTGTTGGAAGTGCTCTCACATGAGGTTGAGATGGTTACGGGCTATCAGACCTGATGTCGGTATCCTCAAGTCGATTGACAAGAATTTAGGTAATTCTCCAATTGGTTTGGTTTAAGCTAAGTCTTAAGTGTAGGTCGATCTTCTCCTTTTGATTAGATAAGCAATTCGAGTATTATCGAAATTATTGGTCCACGTGTTAGGTTGAATTTTACCTCAAACAACATTATATTCAAATAATTCAAATATCTTATTTTAGTTCAACTCTGCATACAAAATAAATTTGATGATTAATGTTATTACTATTTTATAGAATATAACATAACATGTGCATGAAAATTCTAATTTTTTAACAGAAAATTTGACCATAAAATTTTTTTTTTCATCGACTCGATCAATAGACGTATGTGACTGAAGCAGCAATAGGTCTTAAAATGAATTTAGTTTCCGTATTAAATAATTAAAAGGGATCTAGAGAATAAAATTTTGTCTAAAGGCAACTTTTTGCTCAGGTATTTTTATCTTTTGTTTATTTGAAAAATGTAAAAATCAAAATGGTCCTTTTTAACCTAAAGAATGGTAAAATTACAAATTAGGTCTAATAGGCACTAACTTTCAATTTTATTAGAATAAATCCCTAACTTTGTTGACGATTTAAAAAAATTCATACACCTAAACTAAATTTTGTGTAGGATAAGATTGTGATATTTCAATGTTGCATCATGTCCGTGAATAATTAAAGAAATGACAAATGAATTAGGAACTTATTAAACAGAAGTTCAATGACTTCTTAAACACAATTTTTTAAGTTGAACAACTAAATTTATAATTTAATTTAAAAGAGACCCAAATTAACATTATGAAATACATAATTCAAAATAGATCAAAATTAGAACTACGAAAGATTAAAATAGACATTCATAGACAAAAGAAAAAAAAGGAAAGTAAATATAATTTAAACCTTCAAAATATAATATATTTGGAGTTCTTAGACATACAAACTATCATAGATTATTCATTTGTTCAAAGAAATTAAAATAAATCAAATAAATTTAAAGATAATTAGTTAAAATCTCATAATTGTCATCTATCTAGAAATTAATTTTATGTGTACTGTAATAAGATTTTCTAAAAAAAATAATAATAACATTAACTGCGATTGCGTGAGATTAATAAAGGTGCACACGAGTTGGTTTGGACCTCCTAAATAACAACAATAATAATAATTAAAAGAAAGAAAAATATATATATATATATAATTCAAACTTCTTGAAACTCATGATTCAATTCAAAGATGGGCTACAAAAAGAATTTATTAATTTGATCTGATAGAAAAAAAATTGAGGGGAGAGACCAATGACGTGGCAAGATCCTGACGGTCCGCCACAACAACACCAAAACCCACGAAACTTCGTGCCACCTTCATCGTGAATCTCGTTGGCCTTACAATATCGCGATATTTAAAAAGAGAAATACAAAATATCGCCACGTAAGCATGGATAACCCGAGGGCGAAGCCTCGGGAGATGTATTTGCTTATGGAATTGGAGGGTCCCGCATGAAAGTAGGCCACGCGGCAACCCGACGCTGATTAGTCCACAGTTGAAGAGAATCTCAGTACTAAAATCGGAAAAAATAAAAATAAATAAATGAAAAATAAAACCGGGTCATTACCCGGGTCCACGGGCTTCCAAGATCCTACCCGAACCCGAGAGACATTCTCCTATAAAAAGGCGCTGGCTTGTGCATGCAAATCTCGCTCATCCTAACCTCGTTAACGCATCCGTCGTCTCCGAGGCTTTCCCAATCCCCAATTCCCATTTCTCTCCGCGTTTTCTCCGTTAGGTTTCCGTCTATTTTTCTCCTGCCTTTTTCCCGGAAAATTTTCCCATCCTTTTTCCGTTCTGGTTCTTCGAGGAATTTCAATCTCTTCCTTCTTTTTGTTCTTGATTTTTGTAATCCCTTTTTTCTTTCCTTTTTCGCGTCCCAGATCTGCATGGTGAAGGCCGTTTCGGTGCTCGAAATTTGAGTGTTTGTTCCGGATTTCGTAGCTTTAATTCGTGTTTCTCTGTGTTGAAATTCTTCTTCTGAGCGATCCGCGGTGGGATATCGGAAGTTTATAGGGGAGCGTGGTGAATTTGGCGGTGGCAATAGCTAATTTTTCTGCTTCTTTTGGGGGGGTAGCCGGGGCCTCGGCCTCGGCGGGTTTTAAAGCCCCCACTTGCACAAACTGCGAATCTTTCATTCCTTTAACAATCTTCTAACTTTTCTTTTCCTTTTTTTTTCTTCTTCTTCCTCTCCCATTTTCTTATTAATTTCTTGATCCGTCGAGGGAGAGATGCCGGCCCTGGCTTATTGCGTGGACGCTGCTGCAGCTCCTCCTGGCTACGCTTTTGCTGGGGATAGCTCTCTTCCGTCGCCGGTATTGTTTTCCGGCGGACCTCCGGAGACTACCATCTTCAACCGTGCCGCTGCCACCGCTGCTGCTGATAATTCCAATTGGTCTCCTGCTCTTTCATCTGCCCTTTACAAGATCGACGGATGGGGTGCGCCTTATTTCTCTGTCAATGGCTCTGGAAACATTACTGTTCGTCCTTATGGTACGGCGACCTTGGCCCATCAGGAGATTGATCTGCTGAAAATTGTGAAGAAGGCCTCAGATCCGATTTGCTCCGGCGGATTGGGCTTGCAGCTTCCTCTTATTGTGCGGTTTCCCGACGTGCTGAAGAACCGTCTGGAGTCTCTCCAGTCGGCATTCGACTATGCCATTCAATCTCAGGGCTATGATTCTCATTACCAGGGTGTTTACCCGGTCAAGTGCAACCAGGACCGGTTCGTTGTTGAAGACATCGTCAAATTCGGATCTCCCTTCCGTTTTGGCCTGGAGGCTGGATCCAAACCAGAGCTACTCCTCGCAATGAGCTGTTTGTGCAAAGGGAACCGAGATGCTCTTCTGGTATGCAATGGATTCAAGGATGCGGAGTACATTTCTCTGGCGCTTATCGCGAGGAAGCTCGCTCTGAACACGGTGATTGTGCTCGAACAAGAAGAAGAGCTTGATTTGGTTATTGATTTGAGCAAACGGCTGATGGTTCGCCCTGTGATTGGCATGCGTGCGAAGCTGCGAACTAAACATGCCGGCCATTTTGGGTCTACCTCAGGCGAGAAAGGGAAGTTTGGTCTGACCACCACGCAGATTCTTCGCGTGGTTAGGAAACTTGAACATGCCGATATGCTTGATTGCCTGCAATTGCTACATTTTCATATTGGATCCCAGATCCCCACCACTGCCTTGCTCACCGATGGCGTTGGTGAGGCTGCTCAGATCTATTGTGAATTGGTTCGTCTTGGTGCCAATATGCAATTTGTTGACATTGGAGGTGGTCTGGGAATTGACTATGACGGTTCCAAGTCTGCGGACTCTGAGTTATCTGTTGCTTATGGGCTTGGAGAGTATGCCTCTACGGTTGTTGAAGCAGTTCGCTGCGCTTGCGACCGTAGGTCCGTGAAGCACCCAATAATCTGCAGCGAGAGCGGCCGGGCAATTGTCTCTCATCACTCTGTTCTGATTTTTGAGGCCGTTTCTGCTAGCACTTATGAGGTCCCATCCATGAACTCGCTTGAATTGCAGTATCTTGTCGATGGGCTTACAGATGATGCTCGTCTCGATTATCAGAACCTCTCGGCTGCAGCATATATGGGTGAGTACAAGACATGCTTGCTTTATGCAGATCAATTGAAACAACGCTGCGTTGAGAAATTCAAGGATGGGTGTTTGGGAATGGAACAATTGGCTGCGGTGGATGGGCTTTGTGCTCTCGTTTCGAAGGCAGTTGGAGAGCTGGACTCTGTGAGAACTTACCATATGAACCTCTCTGTTTTTACCTCAATCCCCGATTACTGGGGTATTGAGCAACTGTTTCCAATAGTCCCAATTCATCGTCTTGATCAGAGACCTTCTGTGAGGGGTATTCTGTCTGATTTAACCTGTGACAGCGATGGGAAGATCGATAAGTTCATTGGTGGTGAGTCGAGCTTGCCTTTGCATGAGCTGGAAGGCAATGGCAATTTGTCTGGTGGAGGTGGGCGATACTATCTTGGGATGTTTCTGGGTGGGGCTTATGAGGAGGCTCTCGGTGGAGTTCACAACCTGTTTGGTGGCCCGAGTGTGGTTCGGGTGATGCAGAGTGATGGGCCGCATAGCTTTGCGGTCACTCGCACTGTGCCAGGGCCATCGTGCGGGGACGTCCTCCGAGTGATGCAGCACGAGCCCGAGCTCATGTTCGAGACCCTCAAGCACCGAGCGGAGGAATTCGGGCAGGAGGAGGATGGTGGTGGGGGCATTGCCAGCAGCCTGGCCCTGTCCTTCCGCAACATGCCTTATTTGGCCAGTCCTTCTTCCTGCTGCAACGAGAATGATTATAACGGTGCTGTGGATTCTGGTGCTGGCGATGGCGAGCAGTGGACTTACTGCTACGCCTGAGAATGTATTAAGACTTAGTCTCAGCCATCCCTATTTAGTTATTGCTTTCTTCTCTAGTGGGTCTGTTTTTGTTGTCCATTTGGGTCCGTCGATGTATTTCCATTAATTTCCTTTTTTTATTTGGAAAAAAATGAAAAAAAAAGAACCCCCTTTTTTACTTTCTTGGTGTGTTTCAAAGGGTCATGAGAGCACAGCAATAGCAGCATGCTCCTTTTCCTTTGGCCTTTCTTTTTTTCCTTTTTTAGTACAGAGAAGAGGGGATGGGAACCGAATCCACCCTTTTGTAAATTCGGATCTTGTTCTCTCTTTTGTCACTATGTAGACTCTTGAGTTTCCTTCCATCAGAAAAGAAAAAGAAAGAAAAAAAAGCTGTCAATAGCTATTTTTCTTTTCAGATCTCAACTTCTTATGGTGCAACCTCACTTAAAATCCATTGTATCTTTGCACCGATTCTTCCTCCCTCTTCTCTTCTGAAACAACATTTATATTATGCCTTTGCTGTATGATAGAGGGCCGAGTTTGTTTCTTGTTTTCAGGTTGTGAAGCAGTACAGGGCTTTCGGTTGACGACATTTCCGAATTAGCTTGCGACGAAAGAAAAATCCATCAATAAATGACGAGCAAGGGAAGGGGTATTGTCATTATATCTTTTGATTGTATAGTGTGTTTTGATGGGAGTGGAGATTTGGCTTTGGATGGAGCTTATCTGCAAATAAAATGGATATGGGTTTGGTGTCCACAAACTGACTGATGGTTCTGCCCAATATTTTTCAGCCTCAAATTGGTCCTGTGGTCAACGAACTGAATTGTGAGGTAGATTCTCCTGTTCATGTAATTTAATCGTTTTTCTAAATTCTATTTTAGGCCTGTATTAATGATATTAAGAAATTTGGCAAAAATGATGGGCCTCTGATGTGAGTATGGGGAAGGAGAGAAACAGAACAAAAGACAAGTTGGAATATACTAGTTTCATACTTTTGAAACCAAAAAATATATATATAAAATCTGTAAAGGTGAAATCTAGAGTCCACTTGATGATGGGTGTGAAAAAGCATCACTGTAATGAAATTTTAACACTTTTTTTTTTACTTGGCTTCCGCAGAAGAATCAATCTCTCTATGTTGATTTCTTTTTCTCTGTATCTGATTTCATTCTGGACTCCTCTTTGAGCATCCTGGTGTATTAGGGAGACTATGAAAAGTTGATCCTTTTAACTCTTTCATAATCAAAAGATATATGAGCAAAGACATTTGTTGTACTAAAAAAAGATTCTCAACACGTTCCTTGTATATGTGTGTGTTTATTGAGAGACAGTTGATTTGACGGAATCACACTCGTTGGTATTGTAGGAGGAAAAATCATGTTATTGCATAGCTCATCGAGTTTAAAAAGTGTACCTTTCGTATTCAGGTTGGTATTGTTGGAGGAAAAATCATGTTATTGCATGACTCCTTTGAGTTTAAGAAGCGTACCTTTTGTATTCAGGTTGGTTTTTGATAATCTTGTGGTTTGGGCAGTGACGTGGTACCATTTTATGTTGAGTCCGAGGGTGGAGATTGATCAAGAGGAGAGATTACTAGGTAAGCCGAAAGAGATCATCTAAAGGGGATGACAGCGATAATTATATTTAAAAAATATATATATTTTATCTCATGTTAACGTGGTTAATAATATGAAATTAATGTGAAAAAGAAGTGTGCACCTTCTTACCTTTTAAAGACCAAAACGTCGATTGACTTGTCTCAACACAAAGCAACTATGGTGCCTTTTGAAGGAGAGTATTTGTGAAGAGAAGCCATAGCATTTATTTATTTTTTGAATGTCGTGATTAATAAATTATTTTGAATTTTGTATCTAATACATCTTTAAATTGTTAAGAAGTGTTACAACTTTATTGGACATATACTTGAAAGTTTAAACACTAATTAACACCAGGGACAACTCTATTTCTAAAGACCAAACTTGTAATTGGACCAAAATGTTGAGTCATTTGTTAATGAACATTGGTTAAGAAATATATTTTCGACTAAAATGTTGGAATTACATAGAACAAAACAAAAAAATAATAATAAAATCTTGTGAGTGGTTTGGCAAAAGGGTCAAGTTGGGCTTTGATGGTTATCCGGGGCCTTCAAATGAGGAGCTTAAACTAAGCCAAGTTGGGCTTAGGTCAGGTCTCTTAAAATATGGGCTGGGCCGAAGGTCAAGCCCAAGCCCGACTAACATATGGTGTTAACTGCGGCTTATAGTTTTTTACTTTTCTATGGTTGAATTTTATGTGAAAATTCTAAAACAAAAATGGGCGAGTCTTATGTTTTATCCATAAGTTTAAATAAATATCTCTAATTTTTATTTTTATGTGTCATTCATTATTCATTCTTCAGATATTTTTATTTTATTTTGATATTTATAACTTGATATTTGATAATGTAGAAATACATAAGTAGACTTACAATCGTTTAGGTAGAAAATCCAAAATTTGGGCCAAGGTACTATAAGGGTCAAGCTCACCCAAACTAGATGAATTTTTTTATATTTTAATCCATAAGTTTTAATTTATTTTTTAATAATAATTAAATATCAATAAATATGTTTATGAAAAAATAGTATTTGTATTAGTTTCTATTTTAAATAATATATCGATTCTTATTAACAATTTCAATAGAAAATTTTACTGTTATATTAAAAAAAATGTCGAGGGAGAAAAGTGATAGGGCGAGGAATTTATTCTTAGTCCCGTTTGGGTTATGATCCATTTTCATTTTTATCTTTTAAAAATCAAAGAGTTCCAGGAAATTTGGTGGGGTATTTTTGGAAATAATGCTCCAAAATACCTCATTTAGAAAAATGATAAAATAATGTTTTCTTTGTTTTTGTACAAATAAATATACTATTTAAAATGTAAAATAATATAAATATCATTTATTTAAAAAAGATATATAATTTAAACCTTTTTCTATTTGATTTATCATTTATTTAATTATTTTAAGAGAATTTAAGAACAATAAAATAATTATAAAACAATGTTTTCAATTTTTCCTATTTGATTGATTTTACTATAAAATAAAGTTACATTTTAATTAAACGTTCTTTAATGCATTAGAAAATACAAAATTCAAATTACGACTTGAAATTTGAAATTCTTTTATAAGATAACCACACCAAATATATTTTCAAATATTGGGAAAACAAAAATTCGATTTTGTTTTCTTCTAAATTCCTTATCTTCATATTTAAAAAAATATATATATATATCTTCAGAAACACATTTTTTGAATTACAAACCCACCATTCTGCGTATTAAAAAAAATTTAATATATTAAAAAAGAAAAGAAAGAATAGAATGAAAAATAAATGAATATAATTATATTTAATTTATAATGACAAATCTTGACCTTTTCGACGGCATCCGCTTTGGTCTGAGTTGCAGAGGTCGGTCACAGCTTCTCTCTCGTCTCCTCCATTGAGGTACTGCAATTCCATTCTCACCATTCTCACTGCTTTTACTCCTAGGGTTTTTATTCGATCTCACCAAATTCTCCAGAATTTTCATATTGCGTTTCTCCTTGCAAATCAGATTTTGGTTTCTGTAAAATTCCGTCGCCAATTAGCTCCGATTCGTTCATATCGCGGCTCTTTGTTTTTGTCCCTTCAATTTTCTTGCTTCTGCTTGTGGATACTGGATAATAGTATATTTTTCAAGATGAACTAGCTATATTAAGCTTACATCGCAGTAAAGGCCGTCGTTTCCTTTGGTTTGGAAAGGGAATAATTGAGAAGAGAAGAGACTTGTAGCATATCCAATTGCCCCCACATTTTCGCTCCAAATCTATGGTTAAGGGTTTTGAACCTTGCTTATGTATATGGTGATTGATGAAGTTGAGCTTCTTTATGTATCACTTGTGATGATCCATATCTGACCTGACCTGGTTTTTTGTGTGTTTGTGYGCGCGCTGAGGTCTGTGCTTGTTCTGTTCTGAATAAACTATGAGAGTTTCAGAACCTTTTCTTTTGCATATGGGATGTTGTGTGATTTACATGTTTATCTCTTTACTTGGTATTCGTTAAAGTGAGATTATCTTATCTAATTGTTTCGTCTTCTACCTTGAGCTGTTTTCTATTAACTATTTCGTACGGCCATTGGTAGGTTCAGTATTTGGTGTGATACTCTGCAACCTTCTACACTATGGTACGTAACGTTATTTAAATCATATTTTGGCCAATCCTCTCCCTCCCAAAGGAAAAAAGAGTGTGTCTTTTGTTTGATCTTAGAGAAGGGCTGGATTTCTGTAAAACCCTTTGGACTAGTTAATTTTTTTATGGTTTATTTTGGTATCTAGTGGTTGTTTAGGTATGTTTTCAAGAGAGTTTTTACAGACTAATTTTTTGAGCTGTTCGAGAAGGTCATTATGAAAAATTTTCCCCCATATATTAATTTAAAATATATGATTTCAGATCATAAAATGGTTATTGTGAACAGTTAGTTATGAAACATATGAAAAAAATCGAAATACTAATTCTTTCTATTGCCATCTTCTGTTTTGAAAGTTGTTTTTGAAAAATATCTTGTAAATTTTATTTTATTTTATTTTTACATCAAAGAAACTACATTTTAAAACAGAAGCTTCCAAAAAACACTCTTAAAATTTGAATGGCTGAAAAAATCTGCACTATTTTTTATAGGAAGATTTCTGTAACATATTTTCCATCATTGAAAGTCTATAATGAAGACCCTTCCTTATACAATTTATGATATGGAACTGAAATAGGCATAATTTTTAAATTGTGGTAGCATCCAGAACTTGAGTTTCTATTATCCACTGGACCACTCATGAAATATTACTTAATAAAATGTTAGTCGGCATATATATTCTTTTTATTTTTTCCTTTTTAAAGTTTAAGTTTACAATAGTGTTATATAATATAATCTTAAATGTTTGCTGTGGCCATGCAGTTCTTTGACGGATATGGATATCATGGGACTTCATTTGAGCAAACATATCGGTGTTATCCAGCATCTTTCATTGAAAAGGTTGCTGAGCATTTTTTTTAGCTCAATCATTTACTTGTTTAAGCTAATATATATATATATATATATATATATATATATATATATATATATATTTAAAAATTATTAGCTAAAGCTGGTTTTAATTTCATCATCATCCTTCAGTCCCTTAATAGTGGAGCTATCAGATCATTCTATTTTTTCAGTCATCCTCTCATATTTTTATGCCCATCGACAAAGTTTTTGAAATGAAATAGTAAAGAGAAGGATGTTGATCTCATTGAATCTCGAATGTGCTCATGTGCAGTTTGGTTGGAGGGGTGAAGTAGCTCCTTTTCTAGGTTGTTTAGCTTGTTGAATTAAGTCATATATAGATAAAACTTTGATTTTGTATATTGAAATATGTCTCTACTTTAAAAATATAACATATTTTTTAGTCTAATACCTGTTTATTTCATCTTAAATGCAGCCACAAATTGAAACTGGTGACAAAAGTAAGTTTTATGATTTGTGTCACTTTCTATGGTCAAAATATTCCATTCTTGCTAATGTATCTTTGTATGTTTACCTCTTCATTTCAGTCATAATGCCTCCTTCAGCCCTTGATCGCCTTGGTATTTTCTGCTTTTGCTATGAATTTGTTCCTTTTATTGTTCTTTATATTTTTTGTTCCGTATGTATTATGTAATTATAATTCAAAATTAAACTAAAATCTGCAGCATCTTTGCATATTGATTATCCGATGTTGTTTGAGCTTCGGAATGACGTTACTGAACGACTTTCCCACTGTGGTGTTCTGGAGTTCATTGCTGAAGAGGGAATGATCTATATGCCTTATTGGGTAGTCACTAAGTGCACTTCTTAACTTATTTGTGTTATTAGCGTGATTTCCTGCCAAGAACATGTCCTGATGGCTAAGTTTCCCGTACAGATGATGGAGAATATGCTTTTACAGGAGGGAGATGTTGTGCGTGTGAAGAATGTTACACTGCCTAAAGGAACTTATGTTAAATTACAACCTCACACAAAGGACTTCTTGGATATATCCAACCCAAAAGCTATGTGAGTTACTGGTTATTAATTTGTTTTTTTACTTTTTGTTTCTTCACTTGTGCAAAACCTTCTATCTCTCTCTCTAATAATAGTTATTTTCTGAAAATGTGGGAGCCCAACTTCCAACAATGATGGAATACATCTTCCACTTTGGGTTTGCTAGGATTTGCCTTTACTCGGAAAATAAAGTGTGGAAATCTAATTAGCCTTGATATTGAGATATTTGAAAAATTTTTAACTTGAGAAGATCCTCATTATGGATAGTATTTGAATTCAAGAAAACCAAGGTCTATTTGATGCTCTTAGGGAGGAGTAGAGAGCCTTGTAGTTCTAAATTGAATAAGTCCTTTCTCTCAAGTCTTGAAGAGAAATGTCTTTGAGGTAGAAGTCTAATTATAATGGATTAAGGAAGAGATACTATCTTTTCCCCCCATGCAGGACGGCCAATGTTTAAAGGAGTAGGCGTGTTCTTAATCAGATTAAATAATGGTTAATAGAATTTTGGCTTTTGTTTGGAAGATGAGGAGGAAATTGTGAGCTTATTATTTGGATGCTCATAATGATGATTTTAAATAGCTGTCTCTTGAAGGTTGTGATTGGTCCCCTAGTTTGTTAACGGCAATAGATTTTGGTTTAAATGGCCTTTTGAGGAAGAGGGTTCCAACTATTTGTTTGGGAAATCAGGTTAGATGAAGTCCCCAGGTTGGATGAGTTCACTAGAGCTAAAAAGTAGGTGGTGGTTAGTGATTAAGAACATCGTCTATGTTTTTTAATTTTATCTAATTTGAAGGAAATGAGATCATAGTGTAGCTATCAGGAAAAGTATGAAACCAACGTTTGTTTCACTTCTTAGATTGTTTTCATAAAAATCAAACACTTCAAACCTCGTTACGGTTCTCCATGTCCACATTATAGTTTGGATAATCATCTCTAAGGTGCTTTCCTCATGGTTCAGAGAGGTGATTCATGATATGGTGGCTCCTAAGAAGCTTGTGCCATAGACTAATGAATTCTGGATGCTGTCTGGGTCGAGCAGCAACAACTGGTGTTCCTTTGAAACCATATCCAAGGTGGCTCCCACTGAATTGTTTCCCTCAAGATTGGTAAGGTAGGACATAGTCGGATTCTAAGAAGATCGATAGCTTATGGATCACCCTTCTGCCGCTTTATTCTTGGGATTGCATGATGTCCTTAGCTTATCATAACTCTATGTTGAAGGTTTTTAACGGGGTTCTCAGTGTTCGAAGCATGATCATCTGATGGAACCTGACAAAGACGAGGATTCAAGATTGGGTCGCATTGGTGAATGTATTAGGTGGTGTAAATATTAATGTGATGTGGGAACTTTATTGCAGAGTTTGGGTCCGTGTTTTGAAAGAGATCTCCCTTTGCCAGTCCTTTTTCTTTCCTTTTTAAGAAACTATTTCATAGGTAATATGAAATTACAGAGTGAATGATGACACTGATTAAAATATTTTTCACCATTAGTTAGAGCCTCCTGAAGAAGAGGCCTTAATTTCCCTTTATACAATTTCTTGCCGTTTTATGGGAGTTTTGTACGCGAGGATTTTTAAAATCTTAATTTAGGATAGGTTGCAGATTAAGGTACCCTTAGCTTCTTGCAAAGAGCTTATGTCCTATCTTTTTGGTTATTGATTAATTGAAGAGCTATCTTGTAATATCCTTGTCCCTAAGTTGAATTAAAATACCTGCTCCTCCACTCTTGTGTATGTTTTCATGTCGTGTATAGTTGTTATATGAACATTAGTATTAATAAGCTCCTTTAGCCTGCTCCCTTGCTCCTATAGAAAGACCCTCATATTCTCAAGCACCATTCCCCCTAACATAATCAATATACAGCTTATGTTCTTGCAGATGAATGCATGGGAGACCAACGTAGTTCTTTATTATTTAAACTTGAAGAGTTCACTTGAAATAGAGTAACACTGTTAAAACTCCAAGTAATGGGTGTGAATCTGGTGCTTTTTTCGTGTGTATCACGATTCCTTCCTAACTATTCCAAGGAAAGCAAATTCATATTCATTTTGATTGGATGTGATGCTTTCATTTACTCCATTTTATTTTCTTGTATATGTCATACAGCTTGGAGACAACCTTGAGAAATTTTTCATGCTTGACAACCGGGGACAGTATCATGGTGGCATATAACAACAAGAAATATTACATCGATATAATTGAAACGAAGCCTTCAAATGCAATAAGTATTATCGAGACTGACTGTGAAGTGGACTTTGCACCCCCCTTGGATTACAAGGAACCTGAAAAGCCAGTTGCACCACTTCCAACAGGAAAGGCACCAATCCAAGGTCAGACCTAATATAGATAATAATCGACTGAGAATGATAGTTTGTTCTGTTAGACTGAAATTCCAAACTATATTCTAATTATGACTCAAAATTTTATTAAGTGTAACAAAATATATATACGTGTATATTTTTATCTCAGAGGAAGAAGCCCCTGCAGAAGCTGAACCCAAATTCAATCCCTTCACTGGAGTTGGAAGGCGTTTGGACGGGAAACCATCTAAGCAACAGCCGCCACTATCTTCAACTTCAATGTCCAAAGACAAGCAAATTGATACAAGAAATGTTAGTGGTCAGACTTCTGCTGGGTCGAGCTCTCAGAACGCTACGAGGCAGTCCCAAGGAAAGCTCGTTTTTGGAGGAAATGCAAGCCGAAATCCGAAGGAGACTAAGAAGGTCTGGCATTTTCCTCTGTAGTACCAAAAACTAATCTATATAGACAAGGATTATCCACATTTGCTCCTTTTCTCGAGTACTTGTTTTTGTACAAAAGAAATATAATCAAAATCATAAACTGACTATGATGCATCTGTTTCGCAGGAAGCTGAAAAAGAAGGTAAACAAGAGCAACCCAAAGAGAAAGAAGAGCCCAAGTTTCAGCCTTTTGGTGGGAAGAAGTATTCATTGAGAGGTTAATTATTAGATCAGCAATCTATTGTTTAACTTTAACACTACTTATCCTGTTTCATCTATGCTTTTGTGATGAGCAATGCAACAGTTTCATAAGTGAAAATTGAGTTGAAATGTAAGATTTTCGTGCACAGAATCTTTTTTCTTTTACATATCAAAAATTGTACATTGCGTAAATCAGAAGTCGGTGCTATTCTCAATATCAGAAAGATTTTCAACATGTTTGTGTGAGATATTTGCGCTGTGTTGGCTGCTGCCTATTACATTATACTAACAGAAGAAGCATTAAAACATTTTGAGTCTTGAAAGGAAATTTGCCAGAGTGTTTGCACCACGTAAATGAAAGTCCTTAAATTTCAAGTCTTCAATTAACTTCTAAAAGGGTAAAGATTATATTAACTCCAGCCCTACAATTATGATCTATGAATGATCATCGCTCAAGTTTTAAGGTGTTTTTAGCGAAAGAAATTTGTCTTTGACGCTGTGTAAGAAATTATTTTCATGTTTGATTTTATGCCATCGAAAGTACTTTTCAATTAAGTAGCATAACTTGATTTAAAAGAGGATCAAGTACTCCGTAAATATTTTATTTTATGGTATTTTGGGCTGTTTTAGGTTATTCTTAAACGAATTACTTCGGATCTAACCACAAAAGGAAACAGCCTTTTCAAAGTGTTGCAAAAGTACTTTTTTACTGATATTTTTTTTAGAACGCTAAGCTAGGAAACCATACAAAAAAGTCAAAAAAGAAAATAGATTTTCAATCACCAAAAATATTTATTATTATTTCAAAAATCATGCAACTTAGCCTCACTCATTGTAAAAACCATTCAATGTTAATTCATGCATACTTTAATAACACTTATTACCTCCTCAAAAATCGATGGTTTGGTCCCCTATTCTTGCAGCTGTTTGTAGATCGTTCATCAGTCCCGCTCCATCATACATGACCTCCCACGTCAAATTTAGCCAAAATACCACAAAAAGAGGAGAAAGAAATGGAAATACTTATCCACATGAATAGAAAACAGGTACATGCAGAAGGAATAGGCATAAATCAGCCAAAAAGTTGCAGAGCATCACACACCGTTCCAATGGGTGATTTTCTATGTCAAATTTGCATATCTAAGCAAAAGTAGAAAGCAAATCAACAAGGAATAACACTATAATTTGTGTTCATTCAAGTTTACACATCAAAGAAGCTCCCTTTATCATCATCAACTCTGACGAAGCCGTCGACCATTTCAACCTGCAACAGTAGAAGATGTTCCAATTCCTCATCACAACTCCCAGCAAGGAAATTGTTGAATGTATCATTTTAAAATAACCCAAGCTTGAGTAATCATTATATATTCAAAACTGCTTTAATTATAATATTATGTAAATGGTTGCTTTAGAAAACAGGCAGAACACTTGAAAACAAAAGAATAATTTTCATTGTTTTTTATCTTTTTTATAACTAGGAGCTGTAGCTTTGCTCTCTTATACCAGGAGCACGCCCCAAGGCCTGGACTTGGGAGACATAAAGAGTTTTTGGCATTAAACTCACCGGAAGGTTCGAAATTCAGACCTCTAAGCCGATATGACCATGAGACCCAAGTCCTTACTAACCAGACTCCCCCTTAAAAACAAAAGAATAATTTTCTTTGTTTTTTATTTTTTAAAAAAAAATTGTTTTCGACATCAGGTAAAGTGGGTTTTTAGAGTTAGAAACTTCTCAAAATTTCACTCGGGATATGACTGTAATCTTTCGGTTTAATAATTTCCATGCAATAATACTGATCGGTCAACATCACGTACAATAAACACACTATTTAATGAATAGTAGCCAGTTGAATCCAACTTTAGTTCCATAGAACTACTAGAGAAAATAGACATGGTAGCTATCTTTTCGTTAACATGAAACAAACTTTTCATTACGGATAAAAGAACAATTCAAGGATACAAACTTCCCAAGGAGTGAAAATTGTGAAAATAGACATTGTTGCTATCAGCAACCTAACGTAAGCTTACCTTATTTATTACCATGACAGTGAAGACTTCAGTGATCTTCCCGTCCATAGTCATATATTATCTCAATCTGCACCAAGATGACGTCAGGAATATGACTAAGATTACACTCTCAAGCAAGCAGCACACTATAAGAATAAAACATCAAAGAAGAGAAAGGGAAAGCGTACGGAACTCAGTTCCTAACCACTTATTGCTAGGGAAGGAACATTCTTTTTTTCCATTTTCAAGTGCTTCCTCCAAGTATAGGTGAAATGATTTTTTC